ACACACACACACACACACACACACACACACAGACACTTAGCACAGCTGAGGATAAAGCTTCTTCCTTCTGTGTCAGGGAACATTCACTTGTCTACAGCTCGAGTATTTGTAAACACTCAGTAGCACTCAAACCCTGAGCCCTAGCAGTTTCCTTTTGCTTGTTTTCTAGCAAGAGTAGCATATCGGAGGACGATGAGACATTGAATCAAACTCTTAGACAAGCTGGTGAAAGTTTTAAGGACTGAAGGCAACATGCTTCCACACTGACAGAAATCATCTTTCAAAAATCCTGCATGTAGTTCAGGCTTATGAAACAAACTAATTCATAATAGTTGGAAATCAATTAAAAGCTTGCTGTAAGATAAAAGATAGATTTCGGCTGGACCTGATGACTCATGCCTGTGATCCCTACACTTTAGGAGGCCGCAGCAGGAGGATCACCTGAGCCCAGGAATTCAAGACCAGCCTGGTCAACCTAGCAGACTCTATCTCTGCCAAAAAAAACCCAAAAAAACCTCCCCAAAAAAAGGTTTTACTAGGCATGAGAATGAGTCCATATCCATTCTAGGCCCCGGGATATCACCGTGATGAATAGAAATGATCTGTAGCACTCAGCAGGTGCCTGTCAACATGGGTAGGTTCCTCCCCGCCGTCAGCAGGACAAGAACATCTCCCCTATCCAAAAGGCACCCACTGAGCATCCGCAGTTCTCTGGAATTATGCTGAGCACCCAGATATGGGCAACTAAGCCGTGAGCAGTCGATGTGGGGTGCACTTGAAGGCACTTCATTGTTTTTTAAGAGACATTCTTAAGAGTTTACTTTAACCCATTTCCCAGCTCATAGCACACGAGGCGAGGCAGGCATTTTGACCTTGGTAAGACCTGACAAATGACAATAGTTGGACCCCATGGCCATCAGTTACTTTTGTAGAGAGGAAAATTATGTTCCTTGCCTTCAATGAAGACCCCTAGATCCAGGCCAGTGGATTTACAAGTGAGAGTCAGCAGCACTGGGCATTTTGGGCAATGGCTCCGAACAAGCCCTTTACCCCAGAACATACAGATGCCCCTTATGACACGTGGGTGGGGAGGGTACTTGGCAGAGAGAGCATGAGCTTAGGAGACAAGACTGTATTTGAATTCCACTGAGCTTTTGGCTGTGGACCCATGGGGACGTGGCATCGTCTCGCTGAGCCTTAGTTTCCTCCCGCATGGAATAGGAAGAGCAACAGTACCTGCCTCATTCAGTTAACGTGAGGATCTAGAGTAGCATTAACATAAATCAGGCGTGGGGCACAGAGCAGCTTCTGTTATGAGGCGTAGCAGGCTGTGAGCTCCTGTCGGCCTCTCTCCTCAGCTCTATGCCCACTGAGCTTGGCACAAGGGTTGGCCCATGACAGGTGTTTATTATGCGGAAATGAATGAGAGGGACAAGACATTTGCGGATTTCCTCACTTTCCAACCAGGAATTCAAATGTGTCTCACATTCCTATACCCTTACAATAAATCTGTTCAGGAGAAAAAATGTGTACGCCTTGTAACAGACAGCCAGGCAGCACTGAGATACACAGAAATTAAGAATAGTGTCTAAGGGCCAGGTGTGGTAGCTCAAGTCTGTAATGCTAGTACTTTGGGAGGCTGAAGTGAGCTAATTGCTTGAGCCCAGGAATCTGAAACCAAACTGGGCTACATGGCAAAACCCTGACTCTACAAAAAATACAAAAAAATTAACTAGGCGTGGTGGTGCGCACACGTGGTCCCAGCTACTTGGGAGTCTGAGGTGTGAGGATTGCTTGATCCCAGGAGGTCTAGGCTTCAGTGAGCCATGATTGTGCCACTGCACCCTGGCCTGGGGGACAAAGCGAGACCCTGTCTCAAAAATAAATAAATAAAAAGAATGGTGCCTACCACCACCCAGCGCCTAGTTTCCTTTGCCCACTGCAGGCCTATTGGGTTTGGATGACAAGGCCAATACTCTCAGCCAGGAACAGCGGGGCTGGGGGTTGCTCCAGAGCTCTGGGATGCTCAGTTCAGACTGTGGGCCTTGCTTCCCAGGTGCATTTCTGGGAGTGGAGCTCAGCTCGTGCATTTGGGAAATCCCTCAACACTATCAGATTACTGGAGTCTGAGAGGATGGTGACCGACTATTCGCCACCATGAGGATACAAACCATTTCCTGAGAACCTACTGAATCCTCACAGCAGCCTGTGAGGTAGGTCCAATCTCTTTTTACAAACAAGAAACCCAGCCCTGGAGAGATCAGGAACCCATCTGCCTCAGTCAGCTATAATGTGACAGCTCACACTGCCCACTGCTGTCTTCCGCTGTGTGGCCACTCTGCCCCTGGAGCGAGGCTGTGACCCGGATGCCCAGTCGCCAGTGAGCTCTGCTCCCATGTCCTCAGGGCTTTTGCCTGCTGATATGGTTTGGCCATGTCCCCACCCAAATCTCATCTTGAATTCCCACGTGTTGTGGGAGGGACCCAGTGGGAGGTAATTGAATCAGAGGGGCAAGTCTTTCCCATGTTGTTCTCATTATAGTAAATAAATCTCACGAGATCTGATAGTTTTAAAAAGAGGAGTCCCTCTGCACAAGCTCTCTTTGCCTGCTGCCATCCATATAAGCTGTGACTTGCACTTCCTTGCCTTCTGCCATGATTGTGAGGCTTCCTTAGCCATGTGGAACTGCAAGTCTAATTAGACCTCTTTCTTGTGTAAATTGCCCAGTCTCACGTACATTTTTTCCCGCAGTGTGAAAATGAACTAATACACCTGCCACAAGGGCTGCCCCTGAACCCTGAACCCCAAGTTCACTTTCTTGACAAATAAGAATGCTTCAACTTTTACCTCAGTGCTGCTGATAAGGTCTTGTACTCTGATGAAGGCCTGTGGGGAAGAAATAAAGAATAAAACCAGCTTGCCTTCTTGGCTTCAAAAGTGGGTGATTGGCTGGGGATTGGGAAGTCAAGCTCACCTAGACAGTGAGCCACAGAGGAGAGGAAGGGAGCAAGCAGGGATTAATCATCACGTGTGCAGGAGGTTATACCACTCAGCGAGGCACGGCTTTATCCCTGAAATTGGAACATGCAAAGAACAGCAAAGACATCTCGGTTGCATCAGTCATTTTGGGATCAGGTAAAACAAAACCATGATGCCACAGTCTGTGATGGTGCCTCCTTGGGAGACTCTTGACCCAAAGAAGAACAAGCCGGTCTGACCCTCTGGCGGGGCAGGCAGCATCACAGCAGGAGAGGGTGAGAGGTATGGACTGATGAGAGACTGCCTTGCACATCTTGGTGACATGGGTAGAATGCAGGGGACAGCTATGCCTACCCAGTGTTGCCACAGACACAGGGGACCCAGAGGCCCTGGTACTGCAGAGGGAACGGAGGAGGAGAAAGCTGAGACGGCATAAAGACAGATTCTGGAAGAAGGTGGAGGGGTAGGGAATGAATCCCATCAAGTCCATGGAAGGCAAACTCTTATGTAAATCCTAAAATTGCAGCCCTTGTCAGAGACTTTAACTCATGGACCTCTAGAAGTTTCTGAGGAACAAGCAGACTGGTGTTGGCTAAGCCAGTTTTGCTGCTTTCAGATTCTGCCCAGGATTTGGAGGAGCATGAGCCACCAGGTCAGGCTGCTTTCAGGTGGCTTTGCTGTCACCATTTCCACCAGCTGTGCTTGCTTACATTGCCCCATTCAAAATGGACTGACCTGTGCCTAGAGGAGGCAGCAGCTCCGGAGCCCTTTGAACCAAACATGCAGAGCAATCCTGACCACTTGCAGCCTCCACTCAGCAGCACGGCATCCTCCCTCCTGAAGAGACCTCGGGAGATAAGCGAGTCCCCGGCCTCTGGCTACCTTGCAGGTGACCACAACGCAACTTCATCTTTTCATCCCACAGGGCCAGGCTTCCTGTCAGAGACTGGGGACCCAGGGAGAAACATGTCCCGGCCCCTGTCCCCCTCCACAATTCAGAGGCCCACATTCTAACTGGGGAGGCTGGCCAATTAAACAGATCATGACATCTAGAGCTAAGAGCTCTCTGACTACGAACCAGATGCTTGGAGAACACAGATGAATGGTCTGAGCATGAGCAGGGGCGGGAGGCAGCGTTAAGTGAGGCATCAGAATCAGAACCTGGCAAATAAGTGTTTGTGGAGAGGAATTCGTAGAAAAGGGCAATGTGGGCATCACATGGGCCAAGGAACAGAGGGGTAGCAGTAGCTGTTGTGCCAAGCGGCAGGTCTTATACGCTACCCTCTAGATCTGGGTTTCCTTAAAGCAACTTGAGAGGACAACCCTGCAAAGCCTGGCACGGTGGCCGAGAGGGAAAGGAGCATTCGAGGTCTCAGTCCTTGCCCTGAGCCTACTTCTCTGCTTCTGGGCTCCAGCCATCTTTGTGGAAAGGGGCCTGCTACTGACACCCTCTCAAGGGTCTTTCTAGCTCTAGGTCGGCTGTGCTGGGGTCTAGGATTTGCCCACTGAGAAATCTGTTTCTGAGTTCCTTCAGCCTGATGCATCCTGCAGTGTCACAGCTCCTGGTCAGAGTGGTCAGAAGGCCCCTGAATGCACTCAGTAGAGGGAAGCCTGGGAACAGGGAGGCACCTGCAGCTCTACTCAGGTCCTGGCCGGAACTCAGCAGCTCTTCTCTGCCATCTAGTGGGGATGGCAGTCCGTCACTGGGGACCACCCTGTGCAAACTAATGAGCCTCAGTGCCTGTCCCAGAGGAAAGAAAGGCAGGGGATACCGGATTTAGATGAAATAGCAACTCCTAGCCTATTGTCAACATCGTCTGGCTTTTTCAAAACATATCATACTGATTTTCTTTGTTTTTGACACAGAATCTTGCTCTGTCACCAAGACTGGAGTGCAGTGACATGATCTTGGCTCACTGTAGCCTCTGTCTCCCTGGTTCAAGCAATTCTTCTGCCTCAGCCTCCCAAGTAGCTGGGACTACAGGCATGCGCCACCACACCCAGCTAATTTTTGTATTTTTTTTAGTAGAGTCAGAGTTTTACCATGTTGGCCAGGCTGGTCTTGAACTCCTGACCTCAACTGATCTGCCTGCCTCGGCCTCCCAAAGAACTGGGATTACAGGCATGAGGCACTGTGCCTGTCCCATGTTGTACTTAATAGACATTTACTATATACAGTTATTTTTTAATTTAAATAAAATCAATGAACAGTGTTATTTTTAAAATCTTGTGGCTTTTTTTTTTTTTTTTTTAGGACAGAGTCTTACTCCAGGCCCAGGCTGGAGTGCAGTGGGGGCAGATCTCAGCTCACGCAAGCTCCGCCTCCCAGGTTTACGCATTCTCCTACCTCACCTCCCGAGGAGCTGGGACTACAGGCGCCGCCACCCCCTCGCCCGGCGATTTTTTTGTATTTTTAATGAGACGGGGTTTCACCGTCTTAGCCAGGATGTCTCGATCTCCTGACCTCGTGGATCCGCCCGTCTCGGCCTCCAAAGTGCGTGGAATTACAGGCTTGAGCACCACGCCGGCCAATCTTGTGGCTTTAATACACCTTTTCTATTCTCAGGGAGTGGTTTTGGGATACAGCTGGAAGTTAAATAAATGAATGATAAACTTAGTTGTTATCCATTCAAGCATTTGTTGAGCCCAGCGTGGTCTAAGGCAGTGCCAGGCAGTGTCAGTATTATTAAGATGAGGTACGTGTTTAGTTCCTGGGTGTAAGGAAAGTGACAATCTAGAGGGAAGATTTTATTTAATTTTTCTTTTTTTTTTTTTTAATTTTTTTTTTTTTTGAGACGGAGTCTTACTCTGTCACCCAGGTGGAGTGCAGTGGCGGATCTCAGCTCACTGCAGCGCTCGCCCTCCCGGGTTTACGCCATTCTCCTGCTCAGCCTCCGAGTAGCTGGACTACAGGCGCCCAACACCTCGCCCGGCTAGTTTGTATTTTTTTTAGTAGGGACGGTTTCACTGTGTTAGCAGGGTGGTCTCGATCTCCTGACCTCGTGATCCACCGTCTCGGCCCCCAAAGTGCTGGGATTATAGGCTTGAGCCACCGTGGCCCGGCCAAGGGAGATTTTTAATTCATCCATGCCCAAAACAAACAACCTATTTTTAGGGATTTGTCGTCTCCTCCCTGCTGGATTTCTGGGTGGTGCAGGAGAGAAAGTCTTCCATGGAGCTGGCTCCCTCCCTCCTCTGGAATCCTTTACAGGCTTACCCCATCCCACTTCCTACACTGAGGACATCTAAAATATAATCTAATCATTGGTTTGTTTGTTTGTTTTGTTTGGTTTGGTTTTGAGATGGAGGCTCAGCTCTGTCGCCCAGGGCTGGAGTGCAGGTGCGGATTCTCAGCTCACTGGCAAGCTTCCGCCTCCCGGGTCACGCCATTCTCCGCCTTAGCCTCCCGGAGTAGCTGGGACTACAGGCGCCCGCTACCTCGCCGGCTAGTTTTTTGTATTTTGAGTAGGACGGGGTTCACGTTTAGCCAGGATAGGTCTCGATCTTCTGGACTGGATTCCGGGCCCGTCTTCGGCCTCCCAAAAGTGCTGATACAGGCTGAGGCCACCAGCCCCAGCTAAATTCATTGTTTACACAAAAATCACTTCCTTTGTTTCATAAATGGCTAGGGCAATCTGTCAACCATCCCTGCTTATTAAATTTCCCCTTTACAGCATCTCGGTTAAGCCGTCATGACTGCAGCAGGTTCTCACCACCCTCTTTCAGAACGGAGGACTGGAGTCTGAGCACTGTGCCTGTCCCATGTTGTACTTAATAGACCTTTACTATATACAATTATTTTGTAATTTAAATAAAATCAATGAACAGTGTTATTTTTAAAATCTTGTGGCTTTAATATACCCTTTCTATTCTCAGGGAGTGTTTTGGGTATACAGGCTGGGGAGTTAAATAAATGAATGAATAAACTTAGTTGTTATCCAGGCTGACCTGAGGTCCCAGAGCCCCTTACGTGGCACAGCTGGTTCTCAGCCAGGCTTCTCAGTCCTGGTCTGGTCCAGTCTCCTCTCTCTTCATGCCTACAAGTCTTGACCTAACCCAAGGCGGGCATCACATCCCTCTTTGCCACTCCTTCAGTATCAGCCCAGGAGTATGCACAAAATGAGCAGCTCATTAATTGACTGTGGGGAGATAAAGAGGGAAGGGGTAGGGGAGAAGGGGTTGGAAGCCATTCCTTCCTCCATCTCAGGTTCTAGATGGAAACACAGCTCAGGAACATACCTGGGCTTTTCCTTATGTGCAGAAAGGGTCAGATGTTTTCAGCCATCTCTCTAGCTTTCATAGACTAGGCCAGGAAAGGACACAACGAATCAAGTCCATGAATCCCGCCATGAAGGTATGTGGGAAGTGTCTACATTGCTGTCAGAATCAGAGACCTTGACCTTAGCTGGCAGATGCTAAGAAAAGCAGCATTGTGTGCAGCACCAGTGATTACACCGATAATAAAAGCCGCCATTTACGGAATGCCTATGATGTGCCAGGCTACTACCAGGTGCTTCCCATAGATGATGGCTAATAAGAGTGACAGCCGGAATCTGAGATGCTGCTCCTGGATCAGGCTTTACAGGAACCTTCCCATTCGATCCTCAAAGCTTTGTAAGGATGGGGCCTGTCATCACCCTACAGCTATAGAGAAGCAATCTCAGAAAGGGTGTCACCTACCCAGGCCCACAGTGAGGAAGTGGCTGAGCTTAGATCTAAGCCCAGGTCAGCCTAACTCCAGAGACTGCTGCAGTCTGTGGCCTTTCCGTGCCAGCTGGGTCCCCATCTGCCTTCTTAAGGGACCCCACAAGGACCAAACTCCAGCTTCTGCTGGCTAGATGCTTACCTTCTTTGCTGTTTCAAAATCTAAACCTTCTAGAGCTTCCATGGCCAGTTCACGCCAATCAGTGTCGGTGACACCCAAGCACGCAATCTGGTAGGCCTCCTTGAACAGTTTCCTATCCAGGTACTGGTACATGGGAGCAGACTGCAGGATTTCATCAGGGGTAAAAAAGAAGACTGTTTTCAGAGCCATGGAAAGAGCCAGATTCAGACAGAGCCTGCCTCTAGATGCGTGGGACAATTACGCACGCCTGGGGAGCACCCCTGCAGCCAGCCATCAGTCAGCACTCTGCCCAGCCTGCCCAGCCCACTCTGTGTGCTCCATTCTGTGTGCTCCATTCTGCACCCCTCTCATGGCTGGGCCACTGTGCTCCACAGCACAAACTCTCTGCCCATCCTCCCCTCCTTCCCACCTGTGGGCCTGCCTCACCATAGGATGTCATCCTCGCCTGGAATGCCTTTGCCCCTCCCCGCTCTCCCTCTGGAAAATACCTATTTGGCTTTCAAGGCCCTATTGAAATGTCACCTCTTCTGGAGAGTCCGCCCAAGCCCCTCAAGCCCCCACCTCAGGTGAAGGAGTCTCAGCTTCCTCTGCCCTTTGTCCAGATCTCGGGTTGTGATGCAGTTACAGGCCTGTTCCCACAGCAAGGCCGTGCACAGCCCGTGGGCAGTGGTGGGTTGTACCAGCCTCCCTTGGCAGGCCCCCAGGCTATGTTTGCTGACAGAATGAGTTCCTGGGAGGAAGGGGTCTGGGATGGCCTCTTCTTCCAGGGACTGAATCCAAGAAAGGTAAATGATTTGCTCCAAGTTACCCTGGAAGCCTCTGGAAACAAGTCTCCTGCTCCCTGCACTGGGACCAACACCCTCGTACAAGATGGGGTTGCCCATGAATAGTTCCTAACGACTTCTCTTTCTTAGGTTTATAAAGGGCTTTTGGCTGTCCCCATAGGCCTGTGCAGTAGGTATTATTTCTCCCTGGCTACAGCCCAGGAGACCGAGACTCAGAGAGGACAACTGACCTGTCCCAGCAAATAGCTGGCAATAGCCAGAGGTGACTGGACTCCAGGTTCTGTGCCCCTTCCTGCCAGGTATGTGGTTGTGTGTATATGTGCATATGTGTGTATGTGTTACCAGTGGAGAGTCTTGACCACAAGCCATCAGGTTCTTGGTGTTTTCAACAAAGAGCTGAACAAAATACACAAATAAAGCCATGAAGGAACGAAGCAACAAAAGCACAGATTTGTTGAAACAAAAGTACACTCCACAGAGTGACAGCAGGCTTGAGGAAGAGGCTCAAGAGCACCAGTTGCAAAATCTTCTAGGGTTTGAGTACCCTGCAGAGGTTTCCCATTGGTTACTTTGTTACACCCTATGTAAATGAAGGAGTGGTCCACAATCATTCTGATTGGTTGCAGAAGGGGGCCAGTCAGAGGTACTTTTCATTTTTTATTTGCTATGCAGTGCAAAGGGAGCCTCTGATCCTTTTGTTACTTCGGTGTGGAGAGGTGAGGTTTTCCTTTTGATTCAGTTCTAGGAAGTCAGCATGAATCAGCCTTAGGTTTCCTCCCTCCAGACCCTATTCTCCTGCGTCTTGCGGGAACAAGAACCAGTCTGAGTTTGGCCAGGATGTCTTTAACAAGGAAGGGCCTTGCCCTTGTTTTAGGCCAGCCAGTGTGCTTCAGGGCCTGCGTCTCTCCTGGCTTCCTGGGCAGGAAAGAGCAGTCACCCAGGACCTCTGTGCTGATGGTTCCCAGTTTTCTCTGTTTGGGGCCTTTATCTTTGAAATTTCCAGTTCCGTTTTTTAGTTTTAGTGTTGAAGGCAAGTTTTTTCTTTTTTTTTTTTTTTTTTTTTTGAGACGGAGTCTTGCTCTGTGCCCCAGGCTGGAGTGCAGTGGCACGATCTCGGCTCACTGCAAGCTCCGCCCCCCCGGGTTCACGCCATTCTCCTGCCTCAGCCTCCCAAGTAGCTGGGACTACAGGCGCCCACCACCTCGCCCGGCTAATTTTCTTGTATTTTTAGTAGAGACGGGGTTTCACCGTGTTAGCCAGGATGGTCTCGATCTCCTGACCTCGTGATCCGCCCGTCTCGGCCTCCCAAAGTGCTGGGATTACAGGCTTGAGCCACCGCGCCCGGCCTAAAACATCCATCTTTTCCACCCCCAGCCCTGCTGGGAGTGCCCAGGCGCGATCACCTGGGAATAGCTGATGACGCGAGCTAAGAAGTTCAGAGTTGCTTTTGCTTTACGAGGTGCATAGGAACACATTGTACTAAGAACGTGCCAGAAGCCTCAAGGTCACTAAAGATCCCCATTTACCAGACCGGAAACAAAGGAGCAGGGGAAGGAAGCACCCACGTGGGGCTTCGTGGGCTGGAACTGTGTGACCTCGGCAAGTCACTTCCCTCCCAGAGCCACTCTTTCCCAAGTCAACTGGAGACAGCCATGACCTACGGGCAGGTGTGGTCGGAATTAAAGACAGTGGGCACCCAATGCATGGTGAATGGGAGACATTATAGTAACTATTTTATTGATCTTAGATTGAAATATTTCTTGCAACTTTGAAATTTATTTTAGCTTGCAAAGGCTTTAACATCTTAAAATTTTTTTGAAATCTTTAAAAACCTTACCAAATCCCTTTGCAGGGCCTGCAAGGAGTGGCGGCATCTGCCCCTGCTCACTTCCCCCTTCTCAGCTCCTTCCTCTCACCCCTGCCCTCTGTGTTCCAGCCTTGCTGACCTCTCAGCTCTCCAAACAAGGAAACTTATGCTCACCTCAGGGCCTTTGCACATGCTGTTCCCACTGCTGGAAGCACTGTTCCCTCCACTCAGTACTGACAAGCTCCCTCCCGCACTTTCTTCAGGGCTCAATGTAAATGCTACTTCCTCGGCAAGGCCTTCCACACTGCCCCACCTCAGTTTTATCTGTCTCCTCTGTTTTCTCCTCCTGGCACTTAGGATGATCTCTGATCGGTCTGAGAACTCTGCAACAGCATCTGTCTGTCTTTTCACCACTAGAGCCCAGCCTGGTGCCTGCTACACAGTATAGACTATGGAATGAATAAATAAGCCTGTGACATGGGCTGGCACCACCAGCACACACACACACACACACACACACACACACACACACACACTCATACACACCCTCTCACAGTCGGCACAGCACAGAACAGAGTAACATCAAATCCTGACTGCCTGGGTTCAAATCTCACCTTTGCCCTAAACAGCATTTGGATGAGTTACCTGCAGATTTGAAAACTGTGATGTTGTTTTGGTTTGTCAAGGTCTTAGTATCGTGATGTTCTCTGACAACCGCATACCCTTTGTTGTACACATGAGACTACGATGATAGGGCCTGGCTTATAACGACTACTGCGTAAATGTCACTGTTCATGAGGTCATCAGTGTTATGATCACCCCAGGCATTCAGAGACTGCTCAGCCTTCAAATGTTTGTTGAGTGTACAAGGGTCCAGGCAGTATTGACACCTGAGGGACCCTCATCCCCAAAGTAGATTTTATTTTATTTATTTGTTTTTTTTTTTTGAGACGGAGTCTTGCTCTGTCACCCAGACTGGAGTTCTGTGGCCAGATCTCCTCACTGCAAGCTCCGCCTCCCGGGTTTACACCATTCTCCTGCCTCAGCCTCCCGAGTAGCTGGGACTACAGGCGCCCGCCACCTCGCCCGGCTAGTTTTTTGTATTTTTTTAGTAGAGACGGGGTTTCACCGTGTGAGCCAGGATGGTCTTGATCTCCTGACCTCATGATCCGCCCGTCTCGGCCTCCCAAAGTGCTGGGATTACAGGCTTGAGCCACCACACCCGGCCCCCAAAGTAGATTTTAAAGACAGCAGCACACAGGGGAGAGGAGAAATCTCACACAACACTCCCACCCGCTCCCCAGCCCGCCTCTTGCTTCCTGGTCCTGTTCTCTTGGGGAGAAGGAGAATCTTATCTGACTGGTCAAACTCCAGGACCATCCCTGGCCACTATTAGTAATGGGCAGGGTCATCGCATGTTCAAGGCTGTGCACATGAAGCCCCGGCCATGCATAAGGGTGGGGCCTTCTGGATCTTCCTTAAGCTCCTTGGGAACCCACGAGGAAGCTCCCTGATGGGTGCTGAGGGGCGTCTGCACCCATAGATTCTCTGCCTGACACAGAAACACCGGGTTCCTGGGAAACTGGATCCTGCCTTATGAATGCCCCCATTCCCACCACCCCCTCCATCCCTTGAGGCTGCTGCTGTGTTTTGCCATTAACCCTCCCCTGACCCCCAGGACACCTGCCTTGCCCAGAAGCACCCCTTCGACCTGGGCCTGGCTGAAGGCTCACTCCTCCGTCAGGCCTCTGAGGGGGACCGCTTCGTGCTGTTCTTATCAAAAGGAGAAACTATCACAGCAGAAAGGCCAATGCCACACTAGACAGCCAGGAGCCCAGCAGCACAAGTAGCCCCCTAAGGCGCTTTGAGGACCATATCTCCGTCACTCTGACCGCAACACAGTCTGATTCCCAGGACTTCAGGATCCTCCTGGAGACCTCTCAGCATGATTAACACAGGCAGATGGGACCTGAATGGGCCACTGGTCCTTCTGAACACGTTCACCAGGCAGTGTGAGTGTGGGGAGACCATGCACAATGTGTGGGACTCTGCCCTGCACACGCTCAGAGCCCCAGCTCTTCAGAGCCACTGGTAATGATTTGCTGCAGGTGGGGTCACTCTGATTCTTCTCTGAGGTCTCTTTTCCTTTCAGTTTTTCTGAGTAACTGAGAGGATCGCATGACAGCATGCCGCCTAAACTAGGGTGTGCACAGCCCCCGTTCTGTGCAGGGAGGGTGAAAAGCAGCAGAGTGTCTGTGACCCACCTGCCACCTTTCCAATGCTACTACAAGATTTGAAAGAAACGGTCATTTATCAGGAGCCATCTTTATTAAAAAAGATACAATAGAGCAGGGCAGGGGAGAAGTGCTGCAGGAAATAGTCCAGGTTCTGACGTTGCTCCAGGTGGGTGGAGGGGCCCTTTTGTCTCCAGGAAGCTCCAGGCTGTCCTTCAGTTCACCTCTTGGGATAGGATGCCTTTGAAGGCCACGGCAGTGTGGACGTCTTGCCTGGCCGCTACCTGCAGCTGTTGGAGTCCACACAAGACTGATCTGTCAGGTTTCAATGTTCTTGGACCTCAGGGCCTTCGTCCTCTCTAATGTAAATGCAAAAAGACATTTGATGTGTACTCTCTCAGGTGTTTTGCAATGCAGTACATTCCCATTGGCTCTAGTCACCCTGCTGTGCACTGGATGTCAAAACCTCTTCCTCCCGTCCATCTGAGATTTGGGTCCTTTGACCGACAGCCCCCCATTTCCTCCCTGTGCCGCTCCCCAGCTCCTGTCACCATCGATCTACTCGCGACTTCTGTGAGGTCAACTTTTTCTGATCAACATTTCCAGGACATCATGTGGAACTAGTCTCTCTGAGGTGGTGGAGATGCTAAGCAGCATGATTTCCTCATTCCACGGTGCACACAGCTAACTAATAATCACATTCTACCCCATAAATGAATACGAGCATGATTTTCCAATTAAAACAATACTAATAAAAACATAATAAATAAAACGCAGGAAGTGCGGCTTGACTGCCCCACCCACTGGATTTTTGTCTTCACCACAGCCATCCAACTACTCCGTTGGGGTGATCTTAGTTGTAAGAATTTCTGCGCTGGACACAAGCAACACATTTGTAAAAGAAATGAAAGGCATATTCCGGGCAGCCCTGTGGCAGTTCTTGTCGATGAGGCTGACTTCACAGCCTCTGGCTGCCCAGCTTGGAGGAATCTGGCTTTCTGTAGTGGTTGTCACGGGGCCAAGGTTTTTTCTGGGTCTCCTCCACTCCTGCTGGTGCTCTGGGTAGAGAAGGAGCCCACAGGGTCATGCTGGGGGTTTCACTAAAACTGTCTGGCTTCCTCTACAGGATGACAAGTGCACTGGCAGGAATAGTGGGACAAATTGGCTCACTGTGAGCCCGCTCCAGTGGGAGAGGGAAGCTGGAAACTTCAGTAGATGGAGAAGGAGAGGTGGGAACCCCAGGAGGAAAGGACAGTTCTCTGATGGTAGAGTGCTTCCTCTTTTGTTTTGTGTGCTCTAAAATGACATAGGTGGCCATGGGATAGTTTAATGCTTTTTCTTTGGCACTGAGATGTTCTCAGCCTAGAATCCCATGGCCACTATGAGCTGAGCTGTTGGAGTCTGGGTGGTCCAGGAGTGGCTCTTTGTATGATGTCAGTGGGATCTTCTGGCCACTGTTCACCCACAGGCCCCTCATCAGTTGTTCCTGTAGGGATGGCTCCCTAATGTTTAGCATTAAGTACTTTTTAATAAATCTTTCAATTTGAAGTGGGAAAAAAATGGTAGGGAATAGTATTGTCCTGTGATAATTTTTTTTTTTTTTTTTTTTTTTGAGACGGAGTCTTGCTCTGTAGCCCGGGCTGGAGTGCAGTGGCCGGATCTCAGCTCACTGCAAGCTCCGCCTCCCGGGTTCACGCCATTCTCCTGCCTCAGCCTCCGGAGTAGCTGGGACTACAGGCGCCCGCCACCTCGCCCGGCTAGTTTTTTTTGTATTTTTAGTAGAGACGGGGTTTCACCGTGTTAGCCAGGATGGTCTCGATCTCCTGACCTCGTGATTCGCCCGTCTCGGCCTCCCAAAGTGCTGGGATTACAGGCTTGAGCCACCGCGCCCGGCCTGTCCTGTGATAATTTTTTTCCTCAGGTCCACCAGGTTCCCTGAGTAGAAGGGCAGGGCCCAGCCACCATGGAATAGAGAATGACATGGGGGC